GGAAAAATCCAGCTAGCAACTGAGATACCTCTTGCCATTCTAACCAACCCATACCCTTCCCCTTCTGAATTCCTGCACTGGATACTGAATATTTCTCCTGACACCACCACCATTTTCAAATTAATATTCAAGGCAGTGTTTGTGTTCACCAAATTGTTCATGTAGATGAAAGATATCCACCTTCAAGAACTTGCACCATCACTCCCCTCCCCCCCCCCACACACACAGTTTGATTCTTTGAATTCTGCTGCACACACCACCTCTTCCAGCAACTAGAAGCAGAGTCCATAAAACTAAATAGCAAAGTTTTCAGCAAAAGTGTCCAGAAGTATTTTTGTCATGTCCTAGCAGGACCGGCTCTAGGCACCAGCAAAGAAAGCATGCGCTTGGGGCGACAATTCCAGGGGCAGCATTTTTTTTTTGCTTGGGTGGCATTCCGGCCACCCTTTTTTTTTTTGGCTTGTGCAGTTGTGCTCTTAGAGCTTGGGCCGGCAAATTTTTTGCTTGGGACAGCAAAAAACCTAGAGCCGGCCCTGTGTCCTGGCCATGACAGTCTGAGCCGTGGTACACAGAAAAGTTAGTTTTTACAGCTATGGAAAGCACATCACCCCCTTCCCAAAAGCAAGTGCTGTGTTCATGCCGACTAACGACCACTTGGGCATCCAACATTTAGTGTTCATACCCAAGAACAAATTCCCACATGCAGAATTGAAAATAAAAAGGAAGGGTCTTTACTCTCAATATGGCAGAGATGAGACAAAACTGTGTGTGTAGGATAGCTCAATTAAAGGAGTAACACTAAAACAGTAACAATAGGGAAAAAAATTCTAATATTATGCTCAGTTATTTTGTTGTCTAGACCTTATCTCTGGGTTTTCCTGTTCTCCTCTGTACTGGGTAGATGTCTGCACTTTGGACTTTGTCCTTTTAACTCTTTAGGCTGGGCCTCCTCCTGCAGATCTGGTTCCAGCTTGGAGGGGAGAAACTTGGGAGTCTACTGTAGTCCCTGGGCCAATGCTTCTCTTTGGTCCAAGTCTTCTTGGGTCCAAAGGCCTACTGTAAATAATACCACCAACTTCAAGGCCGATATTCATAAAAGTTTGCTTTCTTCTAAAGAACTGGCTTAATATAAATTACTGTTAAGAATGTGGGAGATAGAGGTGCACACAATCTATACAAGACCTATTACTGTCATGTGGTCTGTAACATAGGTGCAGAGAGTTAACTCAGGTCCTATGTGATTTTGCTGCCCAGCCGGAAGGCAGACAATGGACTAACTCAGTCACTAATACTTTAAACAAGTGTCAATTTCTTTGAAGCCTACTTCCACCAGTGTGAATCAGGACTCTGGTTGGAGGTGGAAGGTCCCAGCTTGAGGCCTCAGGGGCACTTCAGGTGGAAAAATTAAAGAGCTTGAGAGGGAGTCAGAAGGAGTCAGCGACTGCTCAACATATGCTGCCCCTTCACTCCTGGATGTGGCGGCAATAGGGAGGTAAGTTAGATCTACCTAAGCAGTTAGGTAAGACAATATGCAAGTTAGGATTGCCAACTGTCTAATCACAAACCCAAATACCTTTGCCGTGCCCCACCCCTCCTGAGGTCTCACCCTTTCTCTGAGGTTCCCCCACCCTCACCAGGCTGGGGCAAGGGGTTGGGGTGCGGGAGGGGATACAAGCTATGGGTTGGGGGGTTTGGAGTGTGGGAGGGGGCTCCGGGCTGAGCCTGGGGCAGGGTGCAAACTCTGGGGGGGGGAGTTTTGGTGCTGGAGGGGACTCAGGGCTGGGGGGAGGGAGTTGGGTTGCGGGGTGCAGGCTCCAGGAGAGAGCTCAGGGCTGGGGCAACAGATTGGGGTGTGGGAGGAGGTGCTGGCTCCGGCTAGGCGGCCCTTACCTCAGGCAGCTCTCTGTCGGCAGTGCAGTGGGGCAAAGTCCCCTACCTGCCCTAGCCCTGCACGCTCCCAGAAGCGGCTGGCACATCCTTGCTGCCCCAGGGGAGGAGGGGCGGGCGGCGCAGGTGTGTCTGCATGCTGCCCGTGGCCAGAGTGCTGACTCCACAGCTCCCATTGGCTGGGAACTGTGGCCAATGGCGCTGCAGGGTGGAACCTGCCTTAGTTCTGCTGTGCCACCGACTAGGAGCCACCCTAGGTAAGCGAGGACAAGGGGCTCCGTGCACTGCCCCCTCTGCATGCTGCTCCTAGAAGCAGCCAGCACATCCCTGCAGCCCCTGGGGGGACAGGGGGCACTGCATGCTGCCCCTGCCTGCAGGCATCGCTCCCGTAGCTCCTACTGGCTGCAGTTACCGGCCAGTGGAAGCTATTGAGTTGGCGCTCAGGGACATGCTGGTCGCTTCCGGGAGCGGAGTGGCATGGGGCCAGGGCAGGCAAGGAGACTACCGGACGTTTGGCAGCCTAAAAATCTCCCAGATTGGCTTCTGTAGCCTCCAGGAGATCGAGCCCGATTCTGGGAGACTCCCAGCAAAACTGGGAAGGTTAGCAACCCTAATGCAAATAGGCTTTGTTGTTGTTGTAACCCCTTCTCTGTTCATTATGTTTGTTTAAAATAAAGGATGGACTCAAAGAAACTATTTTGAGTCACAGCATTTACCAATTGATCACAAGTCCCAAAGGGAAGTCTATAGTCTGGCCCAGTGAAGTCATGGCAGGGAGGTGGGGGGAGGGGGGAGAGAGGGAAAAAAGCAAGAGAGACAGAAATGACACGACACTGACTCCTACACTGGCATGTGGGCAGCCATCAACTCTGGACAGCTCTCTGACCGTACAAAAGATCTCACTGGTACACATCAGTGAAGCACAAAACAGCAAAGGTTTGCTCTTAACTGAAAGATGGATTTTGCAAGTATTTGATATTGCACTACTGTAACACTTTGAAGTATAGGGTTCTACTCCAATATGGTAGATTATATTTCTCTACTAGATTGCCAGTTTTTATTTCAATCTAACATTAGAACAAGGACTGGCCTCACTGGAAATGGAAGATTGTGTAAAACTGGCAAGAGCATCAGTTGCAAAATGGGGAGGGGCATGCAAAGAATCATTCCTCCAGACTGCTCATCCTATATACAAAAGCGATGCCTCAAGCCTATCCAAAGACATGCTTGCAAAGGACAGCCAGGCAAAGAGAGGGCTTTGGTTGCTCCTCAGTTTTGATTTTCTAATTTTCATTTGGTGAGAGGTGATTAAGAGTTACAGCTCAACAACTGAAGATTCCATCCTCACTGAGCATGCTACAGCCTCTCTGTTCTTAGTGCTGACCAGGCTGTCCAAGTACCATCCCCACAGAGCGACTTGGAAAGCCAGACTCCAAGGCTATAGGAGCTGGACTTTCCCTGAAACTGATGCCCCCAGCTGAACACTAGAACTGAGAGCTAGTCGCCTGTATGGTGCTTACCTCTGTGCTATCAATGACCCCCTTGTGATGCCATTGTCTATGCAGCTCCAAACTGTCCTGGCCTTCTTCTGTTGCTAAATCTCCATGCTTATCAGGTATAATTAGCATCCCTCATCACCCATAAATCTTTCCACATTTCCCTCTAAGGTACAGAAACTAGGTTTTGGATTTTCTCCAAGCTGAACATCTATTTTCTGCCTGTATTTCCATCTTCAGTAGTATTTACCTCTCCTTCCGATTCAATATCAACTGCTAGTTTCATTAATGATTTTGAAGTAGCAGGTTTAATATCTTTACTAAGATCAGGCCCATTACTTCAGTGTACCCTGGACAGCTCCCCAAACTTTATATATTACCCTATGATTATGGGTCTCATTTACCACAACATACAGTTTATAAATGTTAAAGTTTAAGATACCTCTAAACAAGGAGGACAAGAATAGTGGCGGGGGGGAGAGGGAAGGGAGGGACAGAAGGTGTCAACATAGAAAGCAGAATTACTCCAAACCAGGCATCAGCAGGAATTCAAACACATGGAGCTTAACCATTTAAATATGTTCTTCTCTAGTTTTATTCCTTGCCCTGTGTGTGAACCTATAACAAAACTCAAAATACTAAATTTTTTTCTTTATGGAGGTGTCCTTTTTGGTAACAGCTGAAACATCTGTTTGATGCTAGCAACCACTCCAGCATTCCTGTTTCCTGCACAAACTCCTAAAGCCATTCATATAATTCTTTAATAGCTTCCTGCTATTAAAAAAAAAGGAGGGAATTTATTCCACCCACAGAAAACTTTTAGGTTAAAAATAGCAATACATTAAGGAAGCCCCACTACAAAGTTCAGCAATCACTGTAGAATTACAGTTCAACCACTTTCTCAAGCCAACTTGCCATTCCCTCCCGCACACCTGATTGGCCCCTCTGTCCTCCTCAACTGCCTCTTGCCCACCAAGTGACTTTTCACTTCCTTGGTGTGTAACAATAAGAAAACAAAAGCCTATTCTGAAAGATACAGAACATCTCCCACAGTATTCCACAATAAGTGATGGAGTCCTCCTTATTAAGAGGATTTAAGACTGAATGAGAAAAGACACATTAGGGAACAATTTCTCATTTAGAGTACTTCCCAGGATGGATAACAAAAAATTTATATAACCAGTTGCCACTTTCATCTCTAACTTCCATTACATCCAGTCATAATAAAGAGATTAGTAGGATAAGATATGCTGCCTTATTCCCATTTGAAAGGTTCTGTTTTGAATTATGACGTATGGGAGCTTCAATTATTCCCCCTTCCCCCAAAATGAAAATTTTAAGTTCTGCAGAAACCGGCCGGCCGGGAAGTTTAGAATAATGCCCCATCTCACTTAGCCTTATGGCTTCATTACATTTATAAAGTGTTGTACTTGTAAAGAAAGTGTAAATTTGTCAAATGAAATACATTTTAGAATAGATTATCCCCATTTTGGCTTCATCTGCTCCCTAATTCATAGCTTTCAATGAGTCTCTACTAATATAGGTTAGCAAGGCCTATGACATATTAGCAGGATCTTATTGCTGAAGTTTAATACAGACAGAAGAACACATTCTTACCATGTGAACCACTTTTGTCCAAAAAATTGCTGAGATTGAATAGCGTGTTTCTAGATGCCAAATACTGAATAAATCTCTGCAAGACACAAAAATGAAAGTCAATTTCCTCTCCCTTACCTCTTCATTCCAGTTCAGATCTGCAAGCAGGTAGAAATTAGAGTTGATCATATGTACATATAAAGGGAAGATTCAGCTGATCTCCTGCTAACTGACCTGAGCCAGTCTGACTCAAGTGGATATAGATGGTCAAAGCCACGAAGCCTGGATCCAGATTAGAACTTCCTCAAAACTTGGGAACATGGAGGGAGTTAGAACCTATGTATTTGGCTTGAGGCTTTGATTGTTCTCCTCAGCAGTTTTAATAGCACTCAAAATGAAACTTAGGCTAATCTACTGTCCTGCTCTTCCTCTAACTGGCTGACACAAAAAGGTAGAAGACAGTTAAGGAGCAACAAGATCTATTAGTTTGCAAGAGGGAAGAACAGAGAATAATGCTGTTAAACTGATTATTTGTATTACAGTAGCACCTGGGAGCCCCGGCTGAGATCAGGGTCCTATTGTATTAGGCATTGCATATATACGGAGCGCTTCATTTACAGAAAATGACAGCAAAAATGGGGAAAGCACATTAGTAACCAATAGGGTGACCAGATGTCCCGATTTTATAGGGACAGTCCCAATTTTTGGGTCTTTCTTAAAATAGGCTCCTATTAACCCCCCACCCTATCCTGATTTTTCACACTTGCTGTCTGGACACCCTAGTAACCAACTACAAAAATCTGGTGTGACAGACAAACGGAGTTGGACTAGGAATTGTGATGCAGCTACATAGAGACAAGTGCATGGCGCATGCACGTGCACGCACACAGTGGCAAACTAGAGAGGAATTCTTTCCACATGCAAAGTACAATTGTAAAGAGGCTGAATTCGCTCTATGAAGTTTTAAATTTAAAGAGCCACCGATTAGAGAGAAACTATCTAAAGTCAACACAAAAACAAGGATTAGGAAAATATGATCTGAGAGATGCTATTAAATTTGCATACAGTGGAGAAAGGAT